CCGGTTGATGATGCCTTAGGGGGTGTTCGAATTGGTGAGCTTGATGGGGGATGGGGGGTGAAGTTGAGGATGGAGGGCTGGGTGTGGGGCTGCGTTGCGGCGAGGCGATGCGGCCCTTTTCGTGTCTGTTTGAGTCGTGGTGTGTGTCTGTGTGTATGTGGGTGGCTGTTTCCTGGTGTCTCTCTTTCCCCTCTGCCCGGTCTCTCTGCCCCATCCATTCTCTTCCCCCTCTTTCCATTCCTTTCCTTTCGTCTCGCCCCCCTAATGTTGGTTGACTGCCGTTAAAAATCCGCCCCGCGTCATCTATAAGTCGGGGTGGGGGGTAGGGGAGGGGGGCGCGCCCCAACCAATTGTACTCGAGCCCCCAGGGCACCCTGGCGATACGTATATCAAATTGACCGGCAGGGGAAGCCGGATGTGGATTTGGTCACCAAATCGGGCCATAGTTTCACCTCAACGTTTTACATGAGAAAACCGATCCTCCCACGATTTCGGCAACGCGTTCCCGGTCCTTTTTTGAAATCGCAACTTTACTTTACTTTCCAAAATTACGTGTATCAAATTGACCGGCAGGGGAAGCCGGATGTGGATTTGGACGCTAAATTGAGCCATCTCTAAATGGCAGCATCTTACGCCAGAGAATCTATCCCCCAACGCGTTCGACAAAGCGATCTCGGCCTTTTTCTAGATTAAAAATTTACGTTTCTTTCCGAATTACGCCCTCGTTTTCTAGCATAGTTTTTCGCGCCAATGCCGAATACCTCTAGGCGGCGTTGGCACTGAGACAGTTTTCTACTCAAAAACACATTGTTTCCCCCGAAATACGTTTTCGGCAAGTCAAAACGATATTTAGTGATTTTTCAGAAATTTAAAGATAAAACTTACAAAGCTTTTTCACTGTCGCTTTAAAAAATTTAAAAAATACTTTTAGTGAATTGATTGATTTATCTTTCGATCTTGAAAAAAAATAAAATAAAGAAAGATCTCTTTAAGACTTTCTCTGGAAACATTTAGCCATATCAATTTCGATTTCTCGGAAAATCGTCATTTTTTTCAGTTCTCAATCCGTTTTCACCCACTACTCCCGATAATTTAGTTCCTGTATAGACATTTCGGATCGGCCTATCGATTTCCCCTTGAGGGACAGCTCGGGAGCGGACAGGGAAAAAGAAGAAGAAGCGGCAAGTGTGTTGTGGGTGGAATGCGGGAAATCGGGAGCCGAATCTTTTAGCGGAACCAGTCTTCACTTCCCGGGGGGCTACTCATGTCATCGCCAAGGGAAGAGGAGGGCTATACGTACTTCATTACTGTTCGCGTTAGTAGAATTTCCGGAAAAATGGAAGTTATGGGTGACGGGGCATCTAAAAAAATAGGACCATTTTTGAAAAAGGCCTATAGAGACAATGAAGCCCTCTAAAGCCCCACCCCATCGACCACCGTAGTAGGATTATTTAGCGGGGTGGGCCCCGGTGAGGAGGGAATTAATACTCGTGTGAAGGAGTGTGAGCATCGACATTGACCGGGTCCTCCTCAGCCGATGGATGGCCCCCACAAATAGGGGGCCTTTTTGGCACTTGGCCAAGGGCAGGAAATCGGGACTGAAATTACACGTGTCATATTTTTAGGTGCTTTTCGTTTAGCGGGGGTAGCGTTCCGGACAATGAAATACAGACCATTTATATATTTTATTTAGGCCGTGTTTTAGCTACAGAAAGCCTCTAAAATGATGAAATGTTTGATTTTTGATGAAGAATGATGAATAGGGTCAAAAACATCATATTTTCAAATTGTATAGGACACTACGTTTTTTTGAGTACTCAAAAAACTCCTAACAACCATAAAAATAAAGAAAAACCTAAAAATACACTAGAAAATTATCAAAAAATCTGGGTGGGTATAGGCAGATCGCCCCCCCCCCCGTTAACGGTCCAGTATCAAAAATCCCGCCTGAAATTAACTTTTCCAGGTTTTGATGGCTGAAACTTTTACAGCAACGAGCTGCGGCCCGGGGATCCAATTAATGAAGGTTTTGCCCCATCGCAGAATTCTTCGAACAACCACCATTCATCCCCCCCCCCATCCCGGACCACCGAAAAACTACCCCCCCCTGCCCTATCGATCTGTCCACCCCCTTCCATTGGCCGAAAAAATTCGCATAAGGAGACGGGGGGGGGGCGACACGTGGAGGCGGCCATAATTGACGGCCTCTTCCGCTCTTTCTCTCTCTTCGGGTGGTTGTTGTGTGGCACACACCAGTTCGGATATCTCAGGGAGACAACACCGATTTGTAGTAGTCGGATGGGGCGAATACGAAATGGCCTTTTGAAAAAAGTCGAATCGGCTAGGCTGGACGGTTATCTGGCGAAAAAAGCGGTACTGGACTGCTAACGGGGGCGGAGCCGGAGCTATGCTAAACCCCTCAAATACAGAGTCGGCTAAGAACTGGCCCAAACAAAATCCCATTCCACCAACAATATCAAAGCATTTTTATTCCCACACAAATTCATTACAATACACAATGAATAAAGACGAGTATTTTTTGATAAGTATCTTCTGTTAATCGGAGTCGATAAGCGCTGGCCGTCTCAGCGGGCGGAAGGGGCAGCCGAGTAGCGCTCCAGGGTCCTGAAAAGGAAAAGCTTAAAAGGTGAATGAAAGAAATACTAACCTGCGGACCCTCAAGTGAGAGGGCAGGTTGCGCAGCCCGTCTTCCAGCAGTTGCTTCATCCGAGGCGACAGCGAGGCGCGAGAACCTGAAAAAAAAACATTTTGGTAAAATAATCTAATACTTTAACTCCCATATATAAGTCAGAATTAAAAGAAAACTACACGCACTGAGATTCATGATGTCGTCGGTCTTGAGGTCGTTCTCGTCTCCCTCATCATTTGGTGGCGTGACGCGCGCAGGCTCGAGAGAGTTGGACGCCTCGGAGGCGCTGCGGATGACGGAGAGGCGCTCTTCAGGGACGAATGACGGGTTCGTGTCCATTTCCTCGTCATCATCGCGCGCAGCCGTAGATGGTCCTTGTCCAATAGGGCGCTGAGACGGGCGGGTGTTGAGCACGCGGTCCTCGTTGATCGGGGCAAGCAGTGATGGGCGGCGCATCATCGACGGGCGGCTGAAAAGTAGTGTAAAAGTAATAGTGCAAAGATAATCGTTAAAATAATAAAGACTTACCGGATGAAGTTGAGGGAGACCCTCTGCGGGACAACCGGTGGAATGTATGAAGGCCCGGGAGCGGATGGCATGTTGGGCATCAACCGGCCGACATGCTGCTCGTTCTTCTCGAGGGTGGCCACCTGCTGCGCATCTTCTGGCTCTTCCTTTTTGGCGGTCCCTCCCTCCAGCTCCATCTTCATCAACTCGTTCGCGACGAGCACGGGCGGCTCGATGTCATCCTCCTGATCGTGCGGATCTTCTCGGAACGTCGCGTTGAGGCGAAGGTTTGGGCGAGCCTAAAAATGTCGATTTCCATGGATGTCTCCTCTTTAGCTTTATATACCTCACGCACCACAGGCGCTTTGATGTTCTGCTCGCGCTGCTCTTTCTCCACTTCGCGGATGACCTCCTTGGTCTCCTGCGGCTCCGCCCCATCCATCTGATCTTCCTTATCCTCTTGCTTCAATACCGGCGGCTGATTGTCGTGCTCCGGCTCGTCCTCATTCTCCTCATCGATGTCCTCGGCCTGCAGCAAGGGCGGGTCCTGTAAAAACCAAAGGTAAGACTAGACTTCTCCTGTTCAGGCTGTAAAATATACAAAAATGTTCGCCCTGCTCTGTGGAGTAAGAATACTTACAATTTGCGTCAGAAAAAATAGCTGAATATAACAAAATTTGAGGTGCAAAAGTGGAAATCTTGGCTGGAAACTAGCATTAGTCTGTTACCTCTGCACCATTATCACGAGCCTCGATGTCCATCCCCTCCTCGTTCTCCTCATCCTCGTCCTCCTCATCTTTGAAACGGATGGTCCTCTTCCTGCGCCTTTTCGGGGTGGCCACCTTCACCGAGGAGCGCCGGTGGCCGCGCAGCGCCATAGCCCGCGTCACAATGCGCCTTTTTGGCGGGCTCGCCGCAGCCTTAACAAATTCATTTCCGCTTTTCCAAGATAAAAACTTACTCGTCCAGCCGCATCGTTGGCCGCATCGACGGCCTTCGCGGCGCGGGGTCTGCCGGCCTTCTTCGCCGGGATCTTGCCGGGTTGAATGTTCTAAAGTTACCTAGAAACGGAAGAGAGTCATGCTCACATCGCGGCTCCATCGCTCCACAATGCCGATCAGCTCGAGGCATTTGTCCGACTTCTTCTTGCCGGGGAACCGCAATTTCAGCTGCAGCATCGCATCGCTAAAGGAAGACATTGATATTTTCGGCACCGGAAACTTACGTCGTGTTGAGCAGTCGGTTGACGTCGGCCAGGGACATCTTGTGGTGGTCGCCGCCGCAGATGGAAACTCGATAATTCTGATCGCTCCCCAAGGCTTCATATGTCGATGAATCCATTGAAATCATGAGAACTTCCGGTGACCATTTCTCTAAATGCTAATTGATGCACGTGTAGATTCTGGACCGGTAGCGGGGGGATTTTTAGCAGGGGTAAGCCTATTTTTGTTTTTACCTTTACCTGTAGATAATATTAATATATAAGCTATTTTTATAGTGTTTTTATTGGGGTTTTATTGCCAAAAAAAATCATAAAAAATATTTGAAATGTGGAAAATTCAAAAATTCAACACTTTTCGTAAATGACTATAATTTTGATAAAATATTTTCTATCTAAAAAAATGTAAGACGCTATAAAAAGGGTTATATTTCGTTAAAGGGCCGTAGAAATTTACCGGGAAAAATTTGGTCTCTCCTCGCTAACAGTCCTTAACCAAAAAGCACAATCACGAAGAAAGCAAAACTCTGAGGCATTTCAATTCAACATCTGCAATCACAATTTGACTTTTTCAAAAGAAAAAACTTGAAAATGAAGAAAGCTCTGCTTGCAACAGGCCGTATAATGATCGCTGCGGCTGACCGGTCGCCTGAGAGGGGCAAACCAGCAGCCCCTCTCATCCAGGTCTTCACATCTTTTTTTTCCTTTTCCAAAAATCCCTTCTTCAGACTGATGGTGGTCTACTTCGCGCTGAAGATGGATTGATGGTGATCCCGCATCGTCCCGTACCACAATGTATGCTCCCAATAATGAAAGGGACCAAGGAAAAGGACCGGAAACCATTTGCCAGCGTTGGCACCATTATTGATGACAGATGGGAGGTCAAGGTATGCTGGGATATAATATATTTAAAGTTAGAAGTTCTTAATTCTAAAGAATTGAATAGATCATTATTTCTGTAGGGATTGATCGGGCAAGGCGGCTATGGCGAGGTCTACTACGCTGTCGACAAAAAGACGAATGCTGAGGTATTTTTAGGGTTCGCTGGCGTTATCGGGGGGCCTAATTTTGTCTATGAATCCGGAAATGACTAATAGCGTCAACGTCAATGTTTTAAAAGTGTTTTTAATACAATTTACGGTTCTTTAGGATTCCCGGGGGGGGAAAGTATTCCCGGGGGGGGAAACCAATTTTTTTCCTGGTGGTCCCGGTTGGCCTAGTAATCAAATATAAAGTGTTTTCGAATTGTTTTTAGTAAGTTTTAACTATATTTAGAGCGGAATAACTTTCAGAAAAATTTAGAAAAATGTTTGAAAAAGTCGAAAATTTGGTCATTTTGGGTCTATTTTTCGACCTAATTTTTAATTTTTTACATTTTTTTGGTTAAAATGTGTGTAGTTTTTATGCACAGGAATAGTTAAAAACAATTTAGAAACGCATCCGCAATTTATACAAAAATCTAGGCTTTCGCCGAAAAAAATTTGTTTTCCCCCCCCGGGAATACTTTCCCCCCCCGGGAATCCCTAAAGAACCCAATTTACTAAATTTCAAGTGAAAAACACATCCAAAAAATTATGCATTGTTTTTACGAATTTTTGGTGGAAAATCGGCCATTTGGTTCACAAAAATCGGTGCTTTTCTATTTTTAATACTTTGTAAGGTTTTTACATTTAGGAATAGCAAAAATAACAGGTTAGTAACACTTCCCCTATTTCGATTTGGAAAACTGGAGTATTATTAGGTAGCCGTGAAGGTTGAGGCGAAACACCACCGCGGCAAGCTCGACCTGAGGGTGCTGCTCGAGCAAAAAGTACATCCACTCGCGCAGCAAACAGAGTTTCGCTAGGTGCTGATGCTGATGCAAGGCCGCCCCCACGTCTCCAAGGTGTACGCCAGCGGTGTCACCGGTAACTTCGTCCCCAATGACTAAAAAAAATTGAATTAAATCAATTAATTCCCAGAATTCAGGCCCAACGATGCAACATCACAACTTCATCGTACTGCAGCTGTTGTCGCAGAATCTCGGGGATCTGCAGAAACAATCACCACTGCGGCGCCTCTCCCAATCGACGGTGGCGAGGATTGGAATTCAGGTGGGGTACTAGGCTCTTAGCGGGGGGGTACTTTATCTAGCTTTTTCCCCATTTTAGATATAGAAAACCATGAAAAATTCTTATTCTCAACAAATTTAGATTTTTGGACAAAACTTTCAATCTTAGAAAAATATTTTATGTTTTTGGTGATCAAAAACATCATGGTAAGACTCCACACAAAGCGACGATTTTTTAGGGTATTGCCGCCCTCCGTGACATGCACAATGCCGGCTACCTCCATCGTGACGTCAAGCCGAAAAACATGTGCTTCGGCGTGACGCCCTACGTTGGTCCTAAAAAACTTCCCACCAGCAAGAATTCCAGAGTCTCTACCGGCTCTTCCTCGTCGACTTTGGCATGGTGCGCCGTCATATGAATCCGGGCGGAAAACTGCGCGAGCCGAGACCGTTGGCTGGATTCAGGTAGATGAGCCGATCAACGTTCAAAAGCCGTAGGGGAACCGTACGCTACGCTTCGCGACGTATCCATGACGGGCGCGAGGCTTGCCCGGCTGATGACTTGGTGGGCGTCTACAATGCCATCCGAAAAGCCCTCATCATCAGATTGCGCTGATGTACTCACTGCTGGAGCTGTTGGTGATCACGCTGCCCTGGAAATACCTAAACGCCGACAAATGGGTCGTCCACAGCAAGGAGCAGCTGGCAAGAGAGATTCAAAGTTTTGAAATCGCTCAATTTAGAGAACCTCCGACATGAGTCTCCACTATCCGATTGTTGGCCGTCATTTTCAGGTAATTTATATTGCGCTTTTCCAAAAATTAATAGGCATTTGCCCGCATCGTCCAAACATACGGCATTTCGGATATCCCCGGATACGAATCACTCCAAGCGATCTTAAGGGTAAGTTCAACTCCGGGCAAAAAAGGGGATTCTGTCGGTGCTGGTTGGTTAGCGGGGGGGAGGGGGGTAGCGGATGCAAAGCTTTTGATACGTTCCCATCTCTCGGATGAAATAGAAGCCTTTTCAAGCAGCTTACGCTTTTTTAGATAGTTCAAAATTTTTGGTTTTTTTCTCAAAATGTACAAAAATGGCCAAAAATTGCACATTTTTAACGTTTAAAAAGATTTTATAACGCTTTTCATTATAACCATTATTTCTGCTTTATTAATATAGCGGGTAGGTTAATAAAAAAAGTACCCCCCCGCTAATGAACCAGAACCCTTCTTTCTAGCCAATGTGCCACGGCAAGCAGTTGTGGGATGAATACGACTGGGAAGACGGCTACATCGACCTCCTGCGCCGTACCGATTTCTTTAACACAAATTCGTTTTTTATTTTTTTAGATTAATCCATTCGAAAGACGACTCCACGGCAATCCGGGGCGAATGAATGGAAATAAAAGTCCGATACGGACATATCCTTACAATTTCATGCATCACAAGTGAATATTTCTACGGCGGATAAATCGTTAAGCATTACTCTGCTATTTCTTTCGCCCAATAATTCGATTCAGCAGCTCGAGCAGCACCGTGCGCACCGGGGCAAACGAAAATTTCTAAATCGAAAGGAATTTAGCTGAAAAATAGATAGAACTACCTCCAGATCCGTAATTAATTCCTTCGAATATGTACATTCAAAGCGCTCAAATTCATCCTTGAGCTTCAAAGAGCCATAAATATCACGAATAGCCTCGACGGTCGGCGGCTCGGACTTGCCGTAGAGATTCTAAAAAAATAGAAAATAATTTTACGACATTTTTTGTACCTCAAATTCACGTCTACCATTCGGCTTCTTGTCGAGTAATTGCATCGCTCGCACGCTGAGCCAAGTGCATTTTCCCTCCTAAAAATTCCAATAATAATTATGATATGTGCGCAAACCTGGATATCGGTTCCAACTTTTCCAGTCACTTTTGGTTCACCATAAACATCCAGGAAATCGTCCTTGAAATCAACGCTAAAACCATAGCTAAAACCCCGTACCTGTGCTTGAAATAAAAAGCCCGTCCTATAGCACAGATTTTTCGCCATCTCCATGTCGAAACACGCGTCAGCAGCAAGTACGCCCAACTGTATGAAAACAATTGAGAGCAGCAGCAGGTTGAAAAACCTGCGTGGGAAGCCATATTGTATAGTCTGCAGTCTTGTGCAACACCATTGCTTCGTACCTGAAAAAAATACACGTACGTGAAAACGAAGAAACACTAACCGTTCCCAAGTAAATGCGTCAAAGTTCCTTTCCAAATGCGAGTCGAGATTCTGACCGACGACAGTTGTTCGTTTAGACTACAAGTATTTCTTATAATATCTCAAAATTAGGCAAAACCTTTCGAAACGCATCGTGGATCCGGCTCAAATTCGGGTGGTTCTTGAGCGCATCGATGATGACCTCGTCCATGAACACCTCCAGCAACAGGGCGTCGTTGATGGCTGTTATGCCGACATCCGGCTAAAGTAACGGATTTATTTCGTCGACCGAGTCATACCCGACGAAACCAGCACGGTTGGCCTCGACGTGTTTCTGAGCCATCAACAATGTCGTCCAAAACGAGGAAGTAGGCTTGTAACTAAAAAATTTTAATTTCTATTTCGGGGAACCACCTTTTTGCCGGTGTATCCAATTTTTCTACACTAAATAGATAGTGCTTTTTGAACCCTCACTATCCCTAAACGTCAAAACATTAACAATTTTCCGAAACCAAAATATCAATATCAAAATATCGATTTTGTCGACCATCATTTCCAACTTTTAAAATTTTTCCTAATTTTCAATATAGTTCACTTGATGTATAGTTAGAACTTGTTAAAAGCGGCTAAAATACGTCAAAAAGCTATCGGGCTTCCGGTTACATTTTTTAAACCGACCATTTCAATGGCTACTGCTGTCTGGGCAACAAGGAGCCGTTGATCCGGATCACTTGTCGGCTTAATCGCATCGTAGGTATCCAGGGCAAGGCGGGCCCGCGAATGTTTTCCGCCGAACACGGTATTGTCATAGATCTAAAATACCTTAAGAAAAATCAAAATTTCACTGACATATTTGATCCGTTCAGCAATGACTGGATGGGAAGGGTCTTCAAGCGACAGGGTCGTAGCGGCTAACGCGGGGAACCGGCTTCTCGTTAGGTTGAACGCCTCTTTCAATAGATCGCGAGACGCCTTCATGGCTATCCCAAAAAAACAAATGTGTGAGTTACAAAACGCGTGTTGATGTAGGTTGAGTAATGACGGAACTGGAAATGGGCACATGAGAGCAATATATTTATTAGCACCGCAAACCCCGAAAAATAGGCGGAAGCTTTCGGACTTGTGACGGTTAAATGGTAAAGCAGCAAAAATGCAACAATTTTCATAGATAATTTATTAGCACTGTACAACATACAATATTCAAGAAGGGGTGGCAATTTATAATGTAGGGCACATTTTAGGCATCCCAAGATGCATCATCCGAGTCATCGCTCTGACTATCTTCTCCGCCTTTCCCCATTATGCTCTCCATCCGGCGCCTGAGAATCGCGGCTACGTCATTCGACTCCTGGGCCGCACGCGCTTCTTCTTCGGCTTGTTGATTTCGCACCTAAAATATAGCGAATTAGCCAGCGATAAAATGACTGACCTTCTTCAACGTGATTCCAGATTGAATTTCGAGCAGTAGATTGCTTCGCGTGTCGGTGACTGGTTTTGGTTGTGAAGTAGATGCGCCATCCGTTGCTAAAAAAGGCGATAATGAATTTAAGAAGGGTTTCTCTACCTTCACGTTTGACAACTGTAAATGACGTCTGGCCAGCTAACAAGCCAGGTGGTGGGGGTGGGGGCGGCGGAGGAGGTGGAGCTGGAGCAGCCACCGGTAACTAAATAAATTTCTGTCAATTCTGGACTGTAACGGGGAAAACTGACTTACAATTAGCCTGCAATTTTTTTGTTAGCCTGCAATTTTTTAAAGCCATTTAGCCGATTTCATTTTTACAATGTTTTTCATAGTTTGTAATTACTAAAAGTCCAAAAGATGGAGTTTTTGCTTTTTCCTTAGTTTTCCAAAGATACGAATTTTCCAAACTTTTAATAATTTGGGAACTTTCTATACATCCAAACGGACCAAAACGCTACGCAAAAAAATTTGTATTTGATGAATTTAAAAGTACCTGTGCTTCTTGAGTGGGAACCATCTTCATATGGTCATCCGGAGGCGTTGGTAGTTGTTGTACAATCGAGGCATGCATCGCGGCCACAGGTGGAGGCGGTGGCAGATCGTCCTCCTGAGAAAAAAAAATAGTATACTGAAGAGAAATCTGAAACTACATCGTCATCAATGTTGAGCATAGTCAGATCGGGAGGTGGCAATTGTCGAGGCGGGGTTCTTCCGTGTACGACCTCGTGGTGCGGTTGAGAAATGCTTGCCATTGGAGGTGGCATTGACATACCTAAAAAGAGTATTTTTAAAGCTTCCAAAGCTTTTTTTGGTTCGAACAAGAAGTCGTTTTAGGCAATCGTTTTTAGAAGTGGCACAACTCATTCGATAGATCCCAAAACTCAGGAGAAGTCCCAATTTCAAAAACTACCGCACGATAACGGTCTTTCAGAAATTTTCTCAAGGTCAACACCTTCAGCGACAATCTTCGAGAAAGCGTTATCGATCACCAGTTTTTGAAAGATGACACTAGCTCAGCCTTTCTGGCTCTTTCGAATTAGCTGTCACGTCGCAAAACTCAGTATAACCCAAAAAACAACCTATTATAAGCATATTTTGAAAACCCACCAACTGGCGCAACGAGATGGGCTGGAGGAGGTGGCAAGGGCTGATCACGAGCAGACTGCGAATGGCCAAGTTGAAGCCCCAGCGCTTGCGGTGCTTGATATTCTTCGGGGAATGAAAGTACCCCCACGGGCGCTGGACGTAGTGAAGCCAGGTGCCTAAAATGTTTGATTAATAAAGCGCTAAATCCTTGACCTCTGTTGTTGCCGTTGATGCTGACGCTCCAATTGCCTGGCCTCCGCATCCGCGTCCATCGGTCTCTGTTTGTTCTTCTTTTTGCGTGGGCTGTTTGAGGGAGATTTGGCACGTCGTCGCACTTCAACGCAATCCTGAAGTCAAACAATAGAGATATCTAGGTTAGGACCACCTTCAACATCTCCTGCCTCCACAAATCGAAGAAAAACGATGGATTCGAATAGAGGGATAAAGCCGGTGCGACGTCCCCTCGGAACCGGTTGAATTCGTTGAGATTTGGCGGTGGGTCGCATCTAAATTTCGGATCATAAATTCCCACGTAAAAATCACTTTGTGTAGAATTCCTCAAGCGCCGTCGGCAAAGTAGTTCTTTCGAACGAGTGCTGATCGATCAGACAGCTGCTTTTGAACGGCTTAATCTGCAGCTCTTCCAGCTTTGCTAAAATGATATCTTACAGAGAGGTAGAAAGGCTACTCACGCTGTTCGCCTTCTTCCACCAAATCATCTATCCTCGTCGCTAAACGTTCCATTCTTTGTTGCAGCCCTGTGGCCTTGTGCTCCAACCGCATCGATTCATGGTAGATTTCGCCAAAAACGTCTTCAGCGTTTTTACCTAAGCTTGGATTTGCGAACATTAAATAAACTAAGCCTTACTCAGCGAAGCGAGTTGTCTGATCAGATTGCAGAGAGTTCCGCTGGCTCGATAGCGAAGTTCACTTCCTTGCGCATTTTTCGGTATCGTTTCCCGGCAGACAAACTCTGGCTGGACCTTCCTTTTGGCGAGGGGCATACCCTGAAATCATAAAAATAATAAAATTTCAATAAAAAAACTTTTTTCCGCGTTTCTAATAAAATTTCTATGAAAAAAGACGTTTCTTATGTTATGTCTTCCGTCCATTCATTTTCCGTTTCCGCAGCACTACTAAAGCCGATGGATCAATGCTGGGCAATATGCCAACTTTTGAACGCTGCCGGGCCTACTACGGTACCGATTCCACCCGGGATCATCCGCCCGCCTCCGCTGCGTGGTCCGCCACAATTTTTTCCTCATTCACGTTTGCCGTCTCCGACGCCACACTACTTGTGAAGACTTCGTCAACCATGGCCGGAATGGGACAGCCTCGTCACTCCGTATACGGTTTGCTTTACCCTGCTTTGAAAATTGCTATTAAATCGCGCATAATGTGGACTTTGGGCCTTTGAAATCTCCTTAGCGGTTTTGATCCCCGAAATCCACTTACAGGTCACCTCAACAACGGGTAAATCAGCGGACATGGGTAGTTGGTGAGCGCGACGCAAAAATTGAGTGGAGATGAGCCGGAAATGCTGAAGCAGCGCCGCGCACTTTGCGAGGTAGTGCCCGTGCCAGAGTGCCGTGTAGCGCATTAATAGGTGCCTCCATAGGTATTCCACGGTCTTGGTGCAATCATAGGGCATTAATAGCGCATTCTAACGTGAGGTTCCCCTTTTACTTTAAAAACTATTATGGCGACTTTATTAAAATTTTTCTTTTAGTCGGAAACCTGCCGTACCAGACCACCGAAAACGACCTCGGCAACTTCTTCAGCCAGGCCGGACAAGTCACCAATGTCAGGTATAACTTTCCTGTTCTTTCGTTATATTTTATTTTTTAGGATCGTCTACGATCGTGAGACCGGACGTGCCAAGGGATTCGGATTCTGCGAGTTCGCCGACGAGGGAGGAGCCCAGAACGCCATCAACATGTTCAACGGAGCCGACTTCAATGGCCGTGCCCTCCGCGTTAACGCCGCCAACCGATAAAAGAACACCCGATCTCTCATTTTGTTATTTATACACTTTTTTCCGTGAATAAACTTATTTTCTTAAAAGAACGGTGTGGCGAAATGCAAAGGATTTCACACAAGGTACAACCAGTCAAAGATCGCCAAACTACATCGCGCTGTTTTCCCGCTCGATTATGTCTGCTTTTGGCGGGGGGTCATGCGCAACTTGTCAGAGTTGACGATCCGTTTGTGTCCGCTCGTTCGATCATTCTACACAGCAATGCCGAAACGGAACGCGAAGGTAGCAGCTAGCTGCGCAAGTTGCATTACGGTTGTTTAGGGCGCTATCACAACGTTCTTTTCGCCAACGGAGTCTAAGAAAGCGAAGGTTGTCGAAGAGAACACTGATGCTCCTGATCGCGACGACAGAGACCCTCGAGAATGGAAATTCGCGGCCTGGAACGTTGCTGGTTTACGTGCTTTTTTAAAGGTAACAACGGTTTCCTAATTTATAACTCCTTTTCTAGAAAGATGGCGTAGCAGCTATCAAGAAGCTCGATGCGGACATTGTGTTGCTGGAAGAAACCAAGTATAATCCACAAACAGATTATGACAAACTGAAAAACGAGGAACGGGCAAATTTGGATGATTTTAAGAAGAAGCTGAAAGGTAAACAGCCCGTTTGCTAGCTAATATTTTGATACATTTGTAGATTACCACATCGAATGGTGCGCATCGACCGAAAAGAAAGGCTACGCCGGCGTGGCACTACTGACAAAAGTCAAACCGATAAAGGTTGGGCTTATACCCGTCTGCAATTGGTTTAGGTTGTTACCGGTCTTGGTGACGACGAATTCGATGGTGCGGGACGCGTCATATTCGCCGAATATTCGAACTTCCATTTTGTTGGCGCGTACGTGATGAATTCTGGCGCAGGGCTGAAGAATTTGAAGAGTCGTCAGAGGGTATTTCTTTCATTCTATGCTTTGACGTCATTTAGTACGAAGGGTTGTTTCTGCAGAAGATCAAGGAGCTCGATGCGACGAAGCCGGTGGTTTATGGCGGTGACCTGAACGTTGCGCACCACGAAATTGGTTCGTTTTACTGGTTGAGGCGACAATTTGGCGAGGGTTAATTCCAATAACAATGTTTTCAGATCTGAAGAATCCTGAATCCAACAGGAACAAAACAGCAGGCTTCACTGATGAGGAACGCGAATGCTTCACCCAGCTTCTTGACGCCGGCTTCAAAGACACGTAATACTGACTTATCAATACCAAATATCTGTTTCAGTTTCCGTACAATGCATCCGGACACCGTCAAGTATTCGTATTTCAGCTTCAGAGGTTCGTACCGTTGTTGTATTACCAATCCCTCGTTTAGGAAATGCTCGTCAAAAGAATATCGGATGGCGATTGGACTATTGGGTCGTTTCTGAAAGGTTGATTATTCCTGTTAGTTTATAAAAGAGTCTAGGTTGATGGAAAACGTGTTGGAAAGCGACATCCTAACGGAAGAGGTTGGATCGGACCATGTTCCGGTGGTCATCCGCCTTTTCGTCTGATGGAAGCCAGGAAGCCATGGAAAAGTCGAAGTTGATCTCCGTGTTTGCGATTCTCAATTTTGTGTACAGGTTCGATAAAAGGGTTCTACAAGGTTTATACGGTTTCTGGAGCTAGCGAAAATTAATGGGTCCGAAGGGCTTCCAAACAAAATCTTGGCGACCTCCCGAAAATGAATTGGAGCTTTGCTATATTTGTTAGCTGTTCGAATTTAAAACTTTTACAGCACACATTAACTTTATAACTACAAAAGAGCAGGAATCAGAAAAACGCGCGAAAAATCTTTCCGGGATCGTTTTTCGCTAGGAAAAAGCGCGTCGTTTTGAAGACCACGGTCCGCACTGATCGGTAAAACTTTTTGGACGCCCTTGGATACACTAAATTGACTGGCACCCGGTTTTCTTGGTTTTGACATTTTCTAAAGCCTGCAATCCCGCCGTGAATTGCTAGGCCTTTCCCGTCTCCCGAAAAAAACATATGTACTCTTCTCAAAAAGCGGCCCCCGCATGTCCGCCTGGGCCCCGTGGCGCGACATCCATTTTAGATAGGAGCCCCCGGGGCCGGGGGAGCAGAGACAGCGCGGCCACGCTGATTGCCTTCTCTGCTGGGTGATTGCGTTTAGAACAGAGTGGATTGAGTTAGGGCACGGAGCCCACCGGAGGGCAGGGGGAGGGCCCGGGCTTTGACGGGCGAGCCGGGATCATCCTGCCATCCTGAAAGACTGAAAGGACCCCTGATGGTGTTTGGGTTTTTGCAATGCTGAAATTTGTGGCGGAAGGAGGAAAGTATCGGATGGTAGCGAAACGCCCGGAAATGCTTTGTAATAAGAACGGAGCTATATCAGTTGAGCGGGCCATAAGGACATTTAGGCCCAACGGTAAGCCTAAGCCTAAAAACAAGACTGGAGGGCTGGCTTTGAGCCCTGAGTTCGAATTTGACGGTTTTTGTGAGCTCACACTAAACGTTTTAGAGGAAAAGCGGCACTTTGGGCAACCGTGAAAATTCTCCGGAAACGTTTCTACCGTGCTTTCGCTGTTTTTTACTTTTTGTAGATCCTCTATATATGTCTGTGTGTTTTTGTGTGTGCCACTTTGCATCCACTTCCGTCTGTCTGTTCGGAGGATATCTCGATAGGGGTGGGGTTTTAGATAACATAGGTTTTAGATTTTTCTATTTAGACCCAGATTTGTTTTTCAGACTATTTACTGCAATGGTTAAACTTTACCATTAAACAGGCGGTCCCGATCCAGAATCTCGTCTCGACTCCTTGATAGCGCTCCACGAACCAGCCGCGCATACACACGAAATTTGGGCCAAAGACACGACGGAAGCCGCGAGACGGCCCCTGCTGTGCCCAGCTTCCGGCACTTTCAACAACTAGCGCCCCACAATCCCTCCACACTCACATATACCCACGACACCCACACATAACACCCAATCTCGACACATCTGAACAGATATTATTTATTCTTTCAAAAATAAATCTATAGAACATAAATTGCCCATACAGCGAATGTGCGAGGGGGAGTTCTCGGGGTGGAGCGCGCAAATCCGAAAGTCGAACGTCAGGAATAAGAATAGGAAAAACACATGCGGGCAAACTGGGGGGAATACACAGAAATGTAGTGTGCGGGCCGGCAACCCGTATTTAACGCCCTGAAAAAGTGCTTTATCCTGTAAAATAGAAATAACGCCTTTTCTCGGTTCTTATTTTTGGAGGGCGTTAAACGGGTTGGCGGTTCGGGAAACCGAAAGCTTGTGCCGTCGCGACATCGAATACGTGGCTGAAGGGAGGGTTGGAGACCAAGAGGGGAACCAGAAGCCCGTCGGCTCTCCGATTTTCAGATTCTCAGATGGAGGCGATCAAGAAATTCGAGCCTTCACCGGCCGCCGGTCCCCCTTTTTGGCCTGGCGGGCACTTGCTACCGACGAAAAAGAATTTGGGGTGGAAGGAGTTATTAGTGATGCTCTCTCTGTTCCTGGAAATGAGGGTTTGGGAGTGAGGGAGGAGAGGAGGCAGATTGGTTTCAGGGGCCGATCTAGGGAGGGCAATAAATAGGCCGTAGCCAGGCGGGTCGACACGACAGGGGTCAGACGGAAGGCCCGGGATGATGATTGCGACTAGAGGGCGATGGGATGAGGGTAATGTCTGATTGAGGTGTTGGGGGTAATCGAAAGCCTGGACTGCTAGAAAACGTCGAGTTTTCAGGGGATTTTTTGGCAAAACTCGACCACCCTCTAACCTTCATCGGCCTGTTGAGCACGGGAAAGGATAGCTGCTACCTATTGATGAATATTGGACTGGACTCTATAGATTGATCGAAACCGCAACACGCCACGCCTGGCCGCCACGAAGCAACCGGAATCGATTGAAAAACGGACGCGTGGCGTATCCGGGCTGGCAAATCCGAGTGAATCCGCAATTTTCGGTGGGAAATGAAAGAAAAACTAGATTTTTTAGGTTACCGTACCGGCTATACGCAACGCGCGCACCACAATGCATTACGTAATGAAAAAAGCACGCGTTGCGTGTGGCGGGCCAATCTATAGCGAATCCAAAATTAACCATTTCATAAAAGCCAACCGCTCGCCCCTGATGAATTTCCACCCTCGTCCCCTAGCCAATCTCCCTCTCTGGCGTTCGTCTGTGCATCTCTACGCATGGCTAGTAGATGAATGAATGGGGAGGGATGGGGGCACGCAATAACAAACAAAATAATAATATGAATAATAATACAGTATTCGGGGCTAGGCAAGAAGGTCGGGGGCGGGCTGAGACCCCGTTGGGGAATACTTGGAATATAGGTGAACGGCAACACCGAATTTAATTGCACATAGGAAGAAGCCATAATATATCCAATTTTGGAGGACTGCGGGGTTTTGATTGAGGATACTAGAGCAGGAGCTTGAATCTTAGAAGGGGGAAATGGTGTGACAAGAGGATGGACGTTGGTTGGTGGGAAGTGGGGGGAATGGCTGCCGGGGATCACAGAGAGTGGGAACGAGGCTTTTGAGTGAGAAAGGGATATTCTGTCCCCATACTCACTTCTTCACCTCATTCGTGAGGATCTGGAACAGCTCCTTGTCCGCCAGGCACCCGTCCACGAATTCCTGAAAAAACAATGGGTTGGCAGTTTTCATGTTCCGCCGATTTCAGAAAACTTTTGGTTTTTTAGCATCTCCTGCCTTCATCGCGCCCCTAGCATTTTTAAAAAAAATAGTAAAATAACGGTTTAGAAGCTAGTGGAGAAGTTTTGCAATTTTTTTAGTCTTTTTAGAAGAATCTGGCTGCAGCGCCGCCTTTCATATTGGTTTACGAGATTTAATAAAAAAGTTAATTTGGTCAAATCTGTCAAATAAACAATAATAAATAATTAATAAAATAAAACAAAGATCAATGGAAATGCATTGCAAAAATCGTGTCGTTTTAGAAGTCTTAGAAGTAAAATTAAAAAAAAGTTAAAAGAAAACGCATGAACTTTTTGCAGCATAACGGAACGCCGGCGAAAGATAGATTTTAAACTGTTTTAGAGGCAAATTCAACCACAAACCTTGAGTGTCAGTTCCTTATCGTTGTTGACGTCCATCTTTTCAAAGATCATTTTGGCCCTCTTGCGTGGTGAGTCGTCGGCCGATTTTGTCACCTCGGGGCCCAGCATCTCGTAGATTGCCTGAAAGTAGGAAATTCATTCAATTCTTATTATCCCCGATCGTTCAAAAGCCCTTCTTCTGCATTCTCTTAGTTTTTGCTAGGCTCATTTTTTTCTAAAAAGCGGCTGTTTCATTTTAATTTTAAGACCTCTATCTCATACCCCAAAAAGTGACTGTAACCACCACCTTAAAAATTTTAATTCGTTCGATTAACCTCATTTTTAGGTTAAAAACCTATCCAATACCCCAAAAATGACCGTAACCAGCCCCCAGTGCCCTTATTAACTACAAAAAGCACCAATTTCCGTTGCAAATTTCCCATCTCCAGGGCCCCGGTTTGGATCAATGATGGTGGGGGATATGGCCTGGAGGGCCCCTGAGGGTGCCCGAATCCAATCGTTGCGAAACCCATCGTCAGCCCAATCCGCCCATCCCTGGCTGCCCCTCCCGTACTCGATTTGTGAATGGGAGAAGCCCTTGTTGTCCCATGGGGGCCCGAAAAGAGCCACCGCAACCGCCCCATCCCCCCGCGCAAAAGTTCAAGGCGCTCCCGCCCGATTTGACGCGCTGAAAGCCGGGGGTGAAAATTCGATTTAAATGCCGTTTTTGAGGCTTTGAAAATGTCCGCGCCTGGGCCGGCTGAGGAGGTCAAAGCCGATGTTGTTATCCAGGTGCCACCTGGCTTGCAAGATGTTCAAAGAAGAATCCAGGGGTGCTTTTGCATTATCGGGGAGGGGGATTGCTCTATTATTAAAAAAGGAGCTGTTTTTAAACTTCAGCAGTACAAGTAAAAATTACGAAAATATCGATTTTCCGTCCAAAAAATTCAAAGTGTCGATTTTTCGATAATTTTTGCACTTGTAATACAGCGCTACTTACTAACAACACTACTACAAAGCCGTCACCCGCATTTTTACCGTAAAATAAATCAGCTCAGGCTCACCTCGATAATCTTGATCATCTCCTTCTCGTCGATCGTGCCATTTCCGTCAATATCGTACATCCTGAACGCCCATTCCAGCTTCTGCTCGGGCGTGCCGGATGACGTGACGTTAATGGCCAACAAGAATTCCTAAAATACGACCCGTCCGTCAACAGGTTCGGGATGGAAAATACCCACCTTGAAATCGATGAAGCCGGAATTGTCGGTGTCGAACGTTCGGAAGACATGTTCACAGAACCCTTCTGCTGAGCCCGACGGAAAGAAGTCTTTATAGACCTAAAAACGTAGGTTTAGATTCGATTATCATTACTTTTTAAACTTTTTATTCAGTTTGTATAAAACACTGGACGCTAGTTTTTAATAGTAGCGTGTTTTTTGTTTTTATTTAAGTTTATATGAAAAATCATGCTTTATTGATCTGAATGAACACATTGGAGCCAAAATTTTGAATATTAGCGTTTTTTAAAGTTTTTTTTTGATTCGTTTTCTCAAAGAACACGATGCTGTATTTGATAGCTTTAGACCAAAAATTGTTATTATCGAGTTTTTCAGTTTTTCGCTTAGTTTTCCTAAAGATCACGACGTGACGCTCTATTTGGCCGAGCTGGACCCGAAATTTTTATGACTAGCCCGTCTAACCCACTAAATTCGCACCCAGCAACCCCAAAATCACTTTCATCATTCTCGATTCCCCTAAAGACACACACACCGAGACGCATAAAATTAACGAGTGCCCGCGAAAAAACGGCGCGCCCCCCACTGATAAACGCGGTGGTGACGGGCACCCAATTCTGGTCTACTGACGTCGAGACAGTGCTCGCCATCAAAAGGACCATTTTATGGATGGAAATTCCGGGCCAAAAAAACCCCGAAAGAACAAACCTTTATAAATTGCTCCTTTGTCAGGTGTCCCTTCGGGCAGTCTTGCTGAAAAACGGAGGGATTGAAATGGCGTATACGAGGCAACAAGCCAGAAAAATGCCGAAAAAACGGTTTTGATGCTCATTTTGGTCGTAGTACCGTTGAAAGATGTAAAAACATACCACGAATCCCTTGTACCACTCCTTGATCTGTTCCTCGGTGAAGTTTGTGTTCCGCTTCAGAAACTCGAGGTCCTCTTTCGAGAGCTTCGGCTTTGAGCCTTTCAATCCCATTGGGCCCGCTGCAAAAAAATGGAGATTAATTCGTTGAAAGTTAAATACTGGAGAACATGAGAAAATTGAGCAATTTTGTATCGAGAAAAAGGAAATGATATCAGCAATTATTTTTAGACGTATAAAAAAATTTGGAGAAGAGTTTACAGAAACAAAAAAATATAACAGGGTTTCTAAGCTTCAGCCGACTTCGATAAGGATTTTTAGAAGTAAAAACTTAAATAGAGCTTCTGCGCTCCAAAACCCAGCTTTTACAACGGGTTTAACACACGTGTTCCCCCCGAGGATTATTGGCTACTGACTTGGCAACGCGAAATTCGCCCCGCCAATGCCCTTCCACAGCGCGGCCGGCGCGTCATCAATACGCGCCGCCGGTGAGCAACAACAATAGACGCCCGGAAGGGGCTCACTGTCCGGAATTCTATCAATATTTGCTCGCAGAATATGTTAGCTGAAGCGGCCGCTAGATCTACCAAAAAAGGGCTGGCTAGCAGAGATCATTGTGGCAACGGATAGAATACGAATAGAATAGAATAATACGTTGTTTGCAGTGGGAGTCTTTTTTTTATTTCTTCAACGATTCACATTAATTACTTTTTCTTATTTCATACAATTCATTCTTACATTATTTAAAAACTTTCTTATTAATTTTGAACGATTTCCTATCTCCAAAACGTGATAAAAATCATCTTAAAAATCTAAAATTTTGGCATAATTGACAATTTTTAAACGCAAAATTCCATTGAAATTCTTTTTGATCTTCGGCATCTATGGGAACACAGGAAAACTTTGGCTCCCCTACTCCACTCCCCCGCTAACGCACCAGCACCAAAGTTGCTAGCGCTTCAGCGAGAATCATTTGGGGGCACGCCAAAAAGAGAGCACACGGGCTTTTCCCAGGGGCCAACGTGGACGAATGGGCCGTGAAATGCGGGGTGCTCGGGCAAAACACCGCCAGGGGAGAACCGCCGGAAATATGTGGGAAGCCGTGAAGACCCACATCGATCAGACACACAAACAGACAGACAGACAGACAAAAGGCGGGAGGGGCAGAACTTCAGCCTGTATACGGTATGGAGGGTCTGAAATCGGTAGAGGAAAAGCCCGGAATCAGCTGCATACGAGTTTAACGTTTAAACAACAATTTAGATCCTTTTTCCAAAGTGCTATACTGAAAAACGCTTGTTTTTAACGGTGCTAAAATCCAGGTAAGTAATGGAAGCGACAGACGCTCTAGGATAAGAATTCTTACAGTTTCTTATAAGTTTAAAACTTTTATTCTTGAATAAAAACGCTCGTTTCTGACTTCTTTCTGTCAACTAGAAGAAACTATCACCTGTCCAATAAGAAAATAAGAAGTTTTCTCAGCTTTATTATAGCTTTCTCTAAATTCCTGAAAAAGCTGGTTTCACCTATTCATACCGCTTCCTTTTTAGCCACTAGAAAAAAAACTACGCGCCTTCTTGCAAACCTTGAGAAATCGAGCCCCCAAATCCAGATGGCCACGTTCCCGTGGCAAGCCGAGAAGCCGTATTGGAGGACTAGCAAGGCGCACACATCCGGACCACGAAATGGGCCCCGCTTATCAGAAGAAAAGAATGAAGACAACCAGGGGCCGGAGATGGAGACGGGGGTGGGGGAGGGAGGGATGGTAAGCCGAGGCTAATCAATCGACCCGGAAAAAGCGGAATCGGAGAAGTGTTGCCGGGGGGAAATGGCGAGGTTTTGTGACATGAAGATCGGGATAAAATTGTTTCAAAGAAAGAAATTTAACCGGAAGTGCTAGTGCAATTGGTTAAAAGTTTAGGCTAAGCGCGGACTAGAAACTGGTAAACTTAGCGTATTTAAAGGGATGCCGACGGCATAGTCAATCGATTACGCGCGGAAAAGAAAATGTCTCTGCGCCTCTCCCCAGGGCGCGCTCTCTGCCCTGTTGGCTACTTGCCAATTTGTTGATGGGGGGGATCGACACATGCCGTCGGCAGCCCTTTAAACCTTGAAGTAGGAGCCCAAAAACACCTAAGCTAGCTCAGCTTACTACTGGGTAGAATAAAGCCAGAAAAACCAGCCATATTCAGTTAGACTTTTATATATCAGAAAAGAGACCAATAAAGGTAGTTGAGAGCGCCGTCTACTCGCAAATCGCCCCCGAAAAACTAAGGTTAAAGACCGTCAGAACGATGAATTTCCGTTGAAAGCAAGAAAGTTGCGCACCGGGCGGGGTCGAACCCGCGATGGTTCGCTCCACAGTCCGACGCGCTAGCCACTATACCACAGGACCAAGTGGGAGAGGGAGTCAGAGGCGCCCCAAACCCCACAGGGTGTTTGCCCAATACGGGACACCACTAATGACGACCCTCTCTGCGCGTTCTTGGGGGCAGCACCCTCGGGGTGACAGTGCGCGTTCCATCGTTCTGGTAGTCCGACTAGTTCCGACTAGGACAAGTTTGGGACTATAAAAAACAGATTATAAGCAACACCGCCTGAACCCGAAGGGTTTGACGTCAAAAAAATCAGCTCCGAACCCAAAACTAAACCCAAAAAATGCCGAAAACAAGCGCCGAAATGTTGCGCCCGGCCGTCAGGTGGGGGTGGCGAAAGAAGAAGGCGTCACATGATTCGGAATGGCAGAGTCAGCCCGCGCTCGGCCCCGCTTCTTCCATTCACCGGGCTGCTGCTCCGACTCAACACAGCCCACCCAAAAAGTAGGTTTTTCTGGAAAATGTCTCAAATTCAGATGGGTCAATTAAAAAGAAGAAGAACAGTTTTTAATCAAACAGCACCGCATCGACGGCCAATATTTCACAAATTTCCTAAGTTTATTAGCGTCCTGCTTCCTTCGAAACTTTTTGCTTCTAAAATGACGTAAGATGCTTTTAAAAATACCTATTGCATTTTTCGGCGTCACTATCAAAACAGTAAATATTGATGCCCCACTACCCCCCCCCCCTGTTAACGAACTAGTACCAACGAAGTGAAGTTTCAGCAAGACATCGTCGAAGGGAAAGAGATAGCCCGGGGCTATCGATTTCAGTCACTTTGTTGTGCCTTTAGCGACCGGGCGTTACGACACGAAAATAGCGGCGTGTGCGTACAGGCGTGTACTGCTTGGTATCGGGGGAGTTTTTGGTACTATTGAAGTTGGGGGGGGCAAAATTTTTTTGGGTCATTTTTGGGCTAATTGGTCAGTTTTTCGTGGCTAATCCAGCGCAATACTCAACTCCTAAGCTAAGCTAAGCCGAAGCACAGTTAAATTGAGCTTGAACAAAGCTAAGTCAAAGCCAAAGCAATGATGCTGTGGCGAAGCCAAGCTACGGACCTGGTACTAAGGCTTAGGCTAAGCATAGGCCTAGGCCTAGGTTAAACTAGTTCTAAGCCTAGCCTAAGTCAAGCTTAAGCCTAAGCCAAGCCAATACTAAGCTAAGCTAAGCCTAAGCCAGAGAAAAAATGACCAATTAGCCCAAAAATGACCCAAAAAAAATTTTGCCCCCAACTTCAATAGTACCGAGTTTTTAGATGTAAAAAAACTGGCAGAATCAATTCGAAATGTACCAAAGACCTCGATAGAGAAACAGGATTCCGAAAGATCAAAGCGAAATCTAGGATTTAGACTTTCGAGAATCCAGTTCATTTTTAGAAAAGCACGGAAGTCCAAATTTGTCAAAAAAAAGTCTAAAAGCAATAAAAACGCCAGATAAAAAATCATGGGATCAAAATTTTGGGTTCCGAATGGCATGTAATTTTGGAAACCCGCCTGAGCATAAATTTGAGCCAAAATTGGCGGAATCTTATGTTTTTTAACGTAAAAATCACATTGTTGAGCATGAACTGATGAGGGGGAACTCTAGTAGCGGATCACGCTTATATCTATGCGGAGAGAAGGGGGAAAGCGAGAGACGCAGAGACACGTAGCAATTTCTGAGCTTTCGCGATGCGGCAAAAATGAGAAGAATCTCTGAGAACCAGCTGACGAGCGGGAACTCTAGTGGAGTAGGAACACCTGGAAAAGACAAAGAAAAGGAAAGCGTGGGCGGGGGTGGGGTAAAGCCTGGGGGGTTTAACGCCCCAACCCTCAGGGTGAGAGGTTGGAGGTGGACGTGGTGGTGTTGGTGCTGGTGCTGCTGCTGAAGAAGCCGATAGACGGAAGCAGTGCAAAAGGGGAGGGGAGGAGGAGATCGATGCTAGAAAGGGTATAAGAGAAACGGGGCAGAAGCACCCCAGAAGGGGCCGGATGAGGAGGAGAAGAAGAAGAAGGGGAGGGAGCGAGGGAGGGCCAACGGGAGGGCAGATCGATCCAGGGAGGCGGACCCTGGGCCCTGGGCCCTCCTCCCCCTCTACCCCGAATATGGCCCATGATTCGGCTGGTGTGGGGGGATAGGGCCCAAGGCTGGCCGACGGGGGGCACCGCCAAAAGAGACCGACTACGTCAGGATCCAGTGGACGGGCTGCTGCTCTTCCCCCCCCCCCCCCCTTTTGGCCACACGATGTGTCCGCACATCTTCTCACCCCCTATTGGGGCCCATATAGGGGCCCAGGGAGAGGACCCAGAGAGCAGCAGGCTTATCTCTTCACTCCCACTGGCTTCACCCCCACTCACTCAGCTAGCCCATCAAAGCTCGCCGTTTTGAAGGAGGGGGCTGTGACAGCGTGGGGAAATTTTAGAAATAGCTGTTTTGTACCTTCAAATTCAATTGAAAAGCCTTTAATGGTATTTACATCGTCAAAAATACGTTAATATGGACGGAACTTTGGCGTTATCGGGGGAAGGGCAAAATGTCTCTTAATATAAGCCTAAACATGCCTCGTCACGCCATTGCAATTAGTTTAACAATGTTTTTCGCAAAATTTAACTATTTGAAAGTGGAAAAACTATCTAAAAAGTTCTAAAATTTTGGAATTTTGCTCGAAAACCTATATTTTTATATTGTTTTACTAAAACTTTGTAAAGTTTTACCGTTCAGAAATGATAAACACAGCTTAAAAAACTATTTCTATTTATA